ATAAATGGTGCCTATATATATATATATATATGCATGTATAGTATATTTACGTTTAACACGTTATTTTTTTTCTCTATCTCTTTTTTTCTCTCAGCTCTGTTTTTAAAGATTTATCTGTTAATTTATTTTTTTGTTTGTATCCTGCTGCAAATGAAGAATTCATTCATAGATTTGCAATGTCAATTTACCTTCCTTTTTTTTTTTTTTACTTTTTACTTTTTCTTAGTAATGTAGAAGTCGATATACGTTTGAGGGCGGTGATGTAGCAGTATTTACACACTATTACTACTACTATTACTGCGGTGTTCCTCTTTACAACCAGTGCCTGGGGTGCGAGTGACGGGGGACAGGAGAACGGGATGGGGCGGGTGGGATGCGAAATATTGCTAGATACTAGATACAGAAGTAGTAGTATTAGAAGTTAATGCGAGGAATGTTATCTTAAAAAAAAAAAAAAAAAAGAAATAAAAAGTAAAAGAAAAAAAAGAAGAAAGGAATAATAAACAAAAAAAAAGAAAAAAAAAAAAAAAAGCGAAAGAAAAGAAACCATCATTTTTCGTTAGGTCTCCCTTCTGCCACTTCTGGGTTCCCACCCAATCCCGAACCACGTCAACATCTTTGAATAACCACGTGGCTGTTTATTATTATTATTATTATTATTATTATTATTATAATAAAATAATAATAAAAATAATAATAATTATTATTAGTATTTTTTTATTTTTATTTTTTGAATAAGCTATTTAAAGCGAAATGGTAGATGTTTATTCTACTTTTCCTTTTATTTATCATCCACTGGAGAAAAAAAAAAGTGACAAAAAAATGCACACATTAAAATTAAATTTATTATATATTTTGCTATTTTACCTTTTAGTTTAAATAAGGTCACACATGCGAGATGCCCAATGAGGATCGATCTCACTATAGTAATGTTCTGCTAGAGTAATTAACTAACCATTACCTGACAGCGAAATACCTAGATATTTAATATTCCTAGTCAGACACAAGGCCATGGTTGCAGAGCATCAAGGAGGATGGAACTCACTAAGCCAGCTAGATATTAGTACGGCAAAAACCATTTACCAAAGTGTTTTTTTTTCTTTTCTTTAAATTTATCTTTTTTCTTGATAGTTAAACTTAGATTATTTATTTTAACAGAAAGTGGAATTAGCAAGAGTTGCGATAAGACGAGGGTTAAGAAGATTGTGTGAAATCAATCTTTTAATTCTGGGAAGGACCTTTCGAGACCTTGACGTTTTGCCACTGTCCGAACACAGTCCTTTCGCACGGGTGAGGAAATACTTAGCTACTTCAGACGTTCTTTTCTTCACTAGAAAAAAAAAAAAAAAAAAAAAAAAAATCAAAAAAAAAAAAAATCAAGGTATAAAAAAAAATATCAAGGTATAAAAAAAACAAAAAGAAAAAACAAAACAAAAACAAGAGGGGGAAGAATCATAGTATCATCTTGTCTGGTTTCACTTTATTTGGGGAGAGGCAGTTGAACGTAACGGATAAGCCAGTAACTGTCATTTATCAAAAAATAACAAAGAAGCCTCAGGAAGAGTAAGAAAAAAAAAAGTTTATTTAAGTAATAAAACTTACTTTTTAGAATCTGTATTCCAAATATAAATACGTTTAATTTTTTTTGGTTTTCGTTAAAAACGAAAAGCCTGAAAATTATTAGGCCTTTTTCCATTTATTCCTGGTGACACCCGCTGAATTTGAGGTGGGGTACCCCGATTAAAATTGATAAATAATTGTGTTGCTTTGCTTAGAACACCAAGTTAGGGGGAAAAAATCCTGTTTTATCTCCACTTGTTTACGATCAAGGTACAATTGGAGAGTAAAATAAAGTAGAAGCTTTTTTTTTTTTAGTTTCTGAGATAGAAGGGAAAATTTCGCACTTGACTGTGTACACAAGAGAGCCTAAGACAAATGCCGATAAAAAGTACTACAATTCAAGTCCCCTATTTCTTCTCTGGTTTTTCCCTGTGATCAATAGACGAAAAAAGTTTTACATAACACGAGTAACGTGGACTGGCCGGTGTAGAAAAATAGCATTTCGGACTTTGTGAAAAAAAAAAAAAAAAATACAATCGACAGACAGGCGTTGTGAAAAATGTAGATCACTTAAAAAAAGCGGGTTAGGGGATTATAAGGACTTTTGTGTGCAGGGGGGTTACAAAGGCTCACCCCCCCCCGTCTAAGTCTTATTTCCCCAACAAACTCGCCTTACCAAAAAGCATGTAACTCTCACAGAGTCAGAAGGTGGGAGGTGGTAACTCGTCGGAACCCCACGTCGTAGGCAGGGCTTAACCGTAAAGCAGTAACACGTGGGATTTGTGGGGACTACGAGGTACAGAACGGGTGCGAGACGGCAAACAATTCTCCCCTCTCGCCACTTATTCCGACTAGAGAGAGAGAGAGAGAGTATATGAATTAATTATTGTGCAGCCCTCCCTACTTTCTCCCACGGTGGTTTGACATCGACCTTCTCTTCAGACGAAACGAGCACAATTCATTAAGGTCTAGCTCACGGGGACTTGTTTCCCAAGCAAAACCTCACCAATTTCAGTTACATTAAAGTGGGTATGGTTAGAGAGCATGATTTATACAAATGCATGTGGGTACCCCCACTTAAACACTAGCCTTGTGACGCATGCTGTTTGTTTGGCAAGTTGAGTAGGTACCCCGCCCCACAAAATCACGAATAATTATGTAAGTCAGCCTGCTTGGTGGTGACATATACTTCTCACAGTCATTTAGTGGTCAGCATTGGATTCCTGATTACCCTGATTTCGAATGCTAATCTTCAAGGCAAGCATGCTATTCTCAGTTGGAAGACTGGCCCAACACACTCTTTGGTTTAGCCTTGGACCATACTTAAATCAGCTTAGTAAATAAATATGACCTTTACCTAGCATTGACCAAGGACCCCCCAGTCTTCAATTTCATGCTAGCTGGGGGTCTTTCTCCACCCCACTGACTGGACGAAGGCAATCCTCTTCCGCCCGCCAAACTTTATCTGCGTAGAAGGTAAACTTTTCAACTCAAAAAATGACAGCATGCACACACGCACACGCGCGCGCTCACAGAGAGAGAGAGAGAGAAAGCATGCAAACGAAACTTTGTATTGTTAAGTCTGCTTGATGAGTGAGGTTGTGTTACATAGGGGAGTGGTTCGTGTCAGAACTGAAGCAAAAACAGAATTCGAAACGATGAGTTTTAAGGCTGGAGTTACTTGACGGTAATCTTTGCGTTCATGGACCTAGCAAATATATAAAATTATACATACACCATAGTGGGCTACACTCATCAGACACTTAGAAAATTTTAATAGTTTGCAGTTACTGTCGAAAATGCTAGAAATATTTAAATAATTCTGTAACTGTAATTTTTTTATTTGTATAACTAATAACTAATTATAAGAAAAATATTTGACGTATATAATTAACAGTATCCGAAAAAAGCTAACCAAAAAAAAAAAAATCCAAGGTATAATAATCTTGATCACCCCGACGTTTTAATGAAATATGTTGAGCTGTTAACACGAGCAAGCAACTCCTGTTTCCATGAAATCTTAATATCTAATTACCACAAATAGGGGAGATATGGATACGTAGCCGATTGATATATACAATTATATTGTGTTTTACATTTTAGAATAAATTTAAAACACTTATTTAAGAATTCTTAAATCTGAAGATAATCGTAAACTTCGCTCCCACCCAACTTTCGAGTCGAAGCCAAATGGATATTCCATGGTAAAACTAATGAAACCGTCTACTTGATCATTACAAATGCGTTCGATCTTCAAATTAAATAACCTAACCAGCTTTTCATCGTTTATTAAGAACTGGATTTCATATATCTTATTGAAATATATATATATATATATATATATATATATATATATATATATATATATGACAATTTGGATCAATCTATGTCTGAGTTTGTTTCTTCTATGCATCTTAGTAAGTTCACATCTAAACGTGTTCATATCTATCTATCTATCTAAACCTGTTCATATCTATCTATCTATCTATCTATCTAAACCTGTTCATTCTATCTATTCATCTATCTATCTATCTAAACCATCTATTATTCATCTATCTATCTATCTAAACCTGTTCATATCTATCTATCTATCTATCTAAACCTGTTCATATCTATCTATCTATCTATCTAAACCTGTTCATATCTATCTATCTATCTATCTAAACCTGTTCATATCTATCTATCTATCTATCTAAACCTGTTCATATTCATTCATCTATCTATCTAAACCCGTTCATATCTATTCATCTATCTATCTAAACCTGTTCATATCTATCTATCTATCTATCATATCTATCTATCCTAAAACCTGTTCATATCTATTCATCTATCTATCTATCTAAACCTGTTCATATCTATCTATCTATCTAAACCTGTTCATATCTATCTATCTATCTAAACCTGTTCATATCTATCTATCTAAACCTGTTCATATCTATCATCTATCTATTCATCTATCTTCATCTATCTATCTATCTAAACCTATTCATATCTATCTATCTATTTCTATCTATCTATCTATCTATCTATCTAAACCTCTATCTATCTATCTAAACCTCATATCTATCTATCTAAACCTGTTCATATCATTATCATCTATCATATCTATCTATCTATCTAACCTGTTCATATCTATCTCATTCTGTTCATATCTATCTATCTAAACCTGTTCATATCTATCTATCTATCTAACCCTGTTCATATCTATCTATCTATCTAACCCTGTTCATATCTATCTATCTATCTAACCCTGTTCATATCTATCTATCTATCTAAACCTGTTCTATCTATCTATCTATCTATCTATCTATCTATCTAAACCTGTTCATCTATCTATCTATTCTATCTATCTATCTATCTAAACCTATTCTATCTATCTATTCTCTAAACATATCTATCTATCTATCTATCTAAACCTGTTCATATCTATCTATCTATCTATGTTATCTATCTATCTATCTATCTTCTATCTATGTATCTATCTATCCTCTTTCATATCTATCTATCTATCTATCTATCTATCTAATCATTATCTATCTATCTATCTATCTATCTATCTATCTTCATATCTATCTATCTATCTATCTATCTATCTATCTATCTATCTATCTATCTCTTCTGATTCTTCTTTATCTATCTATCTATCTATCATATCTATCTATCTGATTCTGTTCATATCTATCTTCTATCTATCATTCTATCTATCTATTCTGTGCAATCTATCTATATATATATATCTATCTATCTATATATCTATCTGTTCATTCTATCTGATTCTATCTATCCTATTCATCTATCTATCTTTATTCTATTCTGTCTATCTATCTGCATCTATCTATCTACCTATCTATCTTTGCATATCTATCTATCTATCTATCTATCTATCTATCTAACTGTTCATTCTATCTATATATCTATCTATCATATCTATCTATCTATCTGATTCTGTGCATATCTATCTATCTATCTATCTATCCTATCTATCTGATTCTGTGCATATATCATCTATCTATATCAATATATCTATCTGATTCTAATATCATATCTATCTAACTTATCTATCTATCTATCTATATCTATCTATCTATCTATCAACCTATCTATCTGATTCTATCTATCTCTATTCTATCTATCTATCTATCTAAGTTCTGTGCATATATCTATCTATCTATCTATCTATCTATCTATCTATCTCTGTGCATATCTATCTATCTATCTATCATCTATTCATCTATCTATCTATTCTATCTATCTATCTATCTATCTATCTATCTTCATCTAACCTGTCTATCATCTGTCATATCTATCTAATAAAAAAAAAATATCTATCTGATTCTGTGTTATATCATTCTATTATCAATCAAACAAACTTAAAGATCTGATTCTGTGCAATTTCTATCTATCTAATTCCATAATCAACCCATCTATCTAATTCTGTCTATCTATCTATCTTATCTATCAATCCTCTTATCTATCTGATTCTGTGCATTTATTTTCATTAATATCTATCTATCTCAACCTTGAAATCTAATTTAAAGAAAAAACTATTATCTTCTATCTATCTATCTATTGATTATCTATCTAACAAATGTGCATAAATTCTATCTAAAAATCAATATCTATCTTATTCTGTGCATATTAAATCTATCTATCTATAATCTGCATCTATAAATTCTGTTTTTAGGTTCTATCTATCCTATCAACCCTATTCTATTTATATTATATGTGCATATATCTATATATCTATCTATGTATATCTATCTGAATCTGTGTATCTAAAAGATCTATCTATCATATCAATATATCTATCTCTTCTGTTCATATCTATCTTTATCTATCTATCCATTATTCATCTGATTCTGTGCATATCTATCTATCTATCTATCAACATTTTCTAATGATTTGTGCATATCTATATATCTATCTATCTATATATCTATCTATTATGTGCATATCTATAGATGTCCATCTATCTAATCTATTTATCTATCTATGATATATCTATCTATCTATCATTCTATCTATCTATATCTGTGTTTCTTTCTATATCTATCTATCTATCTATCTGA